AGAAATGTAGTGGAGTAAAAAGTACAATATTTGTCTTTGAAATGTAGTGGAGTAAAAGTAAAAAGTTCCCAAATAAATAACTACTCAAGTAAAGTACAGATACTCAAAAAATGTACTTAATTACAGTAATAAAGTAAAAGTACTTTGTTACTGTCCACCACTGGTACCGACAGGTCCAAGCGAGGTTGAATAACCGGTACCGCTCGGTCTCAGAGGGGGTCCCGTGTGGGTACAGTTCGGACGCACCAAGAAGCGGCTTGGGCGACTCCAAGCTGGAACCAGGGGTCTGCTTCTGGACACTTGTTGATTGAAAAAGTTCTGATCGAGCTCGCCTCCTGCATGAATCCAGTCCCTCGTTATAAAGAAGAATCAACAACTTTGAAGTTACAAAATAAAATGAGAAAAAAAATTAAAATGAAAATAAAAATAAAATTGTCCCCTAAGGGAAACTGGAGCTAATCCTGTCAAGCTGCTTCTTCCTTCTTCATCTCTCTTCTTCTTCTGACTCTGACTGCTGCTAAAACTAGTTTCTGTTGTCCTGACTCTGAAACTCATGATTGGCTGAAAACAGTCATATGACCTGCCTTCTTACACAGTCTGTTACCACTGAAATTGATTAAACACACAGAAATAGATTGCTTGTGAAGTGATTAAAACAGTACACTGTTCCAAATGATTGAATCATGTAGGAAATACAATAATTCTTTTCTCTCTTTTTTTTTTATATCCGAATGAGAAATACAGAAAAGCATTTGTTCGTGGTGTAATTATAAAACCAGTCTTTTGGGGGCGCTCTAAACCATAGATGAGATGGTATGTAAATGGTTTCTTTGATGTTGGTGTATGTGACAAGACTCAGCAAGAAATCCGGCTTCAAAGAGGGTTTTCATGGCTGCAAACCCCACTCCTGATAGACTTACAGTCTGCAGAAACTTTGAGTTCTTTGTGATAAGCAGCCATTTTGAACACATCAAAGGGGTTCTTACACAGTACTCAATCAACAGGAGGTCTGTTTGCTATCTTACCACTTGTAGATAGTAAACAAGCTTGGAGGTAAATGAATGAGTCATTGTTCTCTTGTAGACATGAGACAGAGTAATGTGTTGGCCAAAGTTTTGAGGTAGAACTTCTTCAGGTTACTGCTACAGATGTTTACACCAAAAGATCTCTGATTCACTCATTTCTCTGTCAATCAAAAAGGGATTCAGGCTCAGACAGATCATCCAGTCATCATGCAGAAGCTGAGCTTCCGAGCCAGCCGAGGTCAGCCCACTGCTCCATAGACCCCAGAGACGCTGAGCGTCCGATGGGCGGGACAAAGCCAGCATTTATCCAATGACTCGTGTCGTTTCACTGCAGTCTTTGCTTCACCATTGAGCTCTGTGGAAGCTCAGCGTCCGACTGTTTAAAGCTCTGTGAAGCTGCAGGAATGAGGGAGAGGAAAGCTGCGTCCTTACTGTGATAAGAAGCTGATTCTGAACAAAAGTTGAGCGCGTTGTAGCGCATATTTAGTCAGTGACATGAACACACAACAGTGTTTATTTGATCGCTTATTTTTGAAATTTTAGGGGAAGCTGAGCTTCACTTGCAGTCTTAGAGAAATCGCCTGTGGTGCAGGTGCACACACAGTGCTCCTGCACACTGCTCCTCACTGTGTTGCGCTCCCAGAGCACCGCAGCTCTGGGATCCAGCCCACCTAGAACCAACTGAGTTCTGTAAACCCAGATAATTGTAGTAGTTGTTTGTTGTTGAGGTGAATGTGTTGGTATTGTAACCTACAAATTGTCCTGGTTCTAAGCCTCGGCTGTGATTCTGCAGCCTCACTAACCTACATCCATCTGAGCTGAAAGCCTCTCTCTGCTCCTCCCTGCAGCTGTCTCAGAGGACGTGAAGCCAAAGTTCATAAAGGGATCAAAGCGTTATGGCCGCCGCTCTCACCCCGACAGCAGACCTGACACTGTTTGTACCTGTGACTCGGAGGACCTGCCGGGGTCCAAAACCGAAGCCATGGACTTGTATGGCATCCATCAGGCCAAACTGAGACGGGCCACATCTCTGGAGAGCGTCGAGGTGAACCAGATGCTGACTTCTTGCATTGTTCTTCATTTAAAGCAGGATGAGATGTTCGTGTGATGATGTTTTAAATGTTGCTGCTGAAAACAAAAAAGAGCTGAGGTTGTTGTTTTTATGTGTGAAATTAGAGACAGAAGGCCACGATCTGTGACCTTCACCGCTCACTTCCTGGAGAAGATTAGTGTGGATCTGTGACGGGTCTCAGTCTGACTGGAATACCTGAAAGGGGGAGGGGACGAGGCATGACCCAGCAGTTTGGTGGTTTTGGGGTTAGGGTGGAGGCTTTTCAGGAAGTGGGATTGTGAGGAATGTGGCTGCTGGCAGACTGAGCTGCTCTGGCTGCAGGATGAAGAGCATGTTTCTGAGAGACACTTTATATTACCCTTTTTATTGTTTTTTTAAATGTTTTAGTTCCTCACATTTCTGTCCATGTCTCAGATGTTTCTGTCCATGTCTCAGATGTTTCTGAGAGACGCTTTATATTACCCTTTTTATTAGTTTTTTAAATGTTTTAGTTCCTCACATTTCTGTCCATGTCTCAGATTTATTTGTCCATGTCTCAGATGTTTCTGTCTATGTCTCATATGTTTCTGTCCATGTCTCATATGTTTCTGTCCCTGTCTCATATGTTTCTGTCCATGTCTCATATGTTTCTGTCCATGTCTCATATGTTTCTGTCCATGTCTCATATGTTTCTGTCCATGTCTCTGATGTTTCTGTCCATGTCTCATATGTTTCTGTCCATGTCTCTGATGTTTCTGTCCATGTCTCATATGTTTCTGTCCATGTCTCAGATGTTTCTGTCCATGTCTCAGATGTTTCTGTCCCTGTCTCATATGTTTCTGTCCATGTCTCAGATGTTTCTGTCCCTGTCTTATATGTTTCTGTCCATGTCTCATATGTTTCTGTACATGTCTCATGTTTCTGTCCATGTCCCATATGTTTTTATCCATGTCTCATATGTTTCTGTCCCTGTCCCATATGTTTCTGTCCATGTCCCATATGTTTCTGTCCATGTCTCATATGTTTCTGTCCATGTCTCAGATTTATCTGTCCATGTC